GAGCTGACCCGCTTTCTGCGTGCCTATTGCCATCAGAATCAGAACGACTGGAGTCGCTTTCTCCTGTGGGCGGAGTACGCACAGAATTCACCATCCAATGGCCTTACACCTTTTCAATGTGTACTCGGTTTCCAACCACCCCTGTTTCCCTGGTCCGGAGAACCCTCAGAGCTCCCTGCTATCAACGACTGGCTCCAGCGAAGTGAGGAGACATGGAATGTTGCTCATGTGCACCTTCAACGCGCCATCCGCAGGGTCAAGGAACAGGCCGACCGTCACAGGAGGTCAGGTCCCGCTTACACCCCAGGACAATGGGTCTGGCTCTCCACAAGAGACCTTCGCCTTCGGCTCCCGTGCAAGAAGTTGAGTCCCAGGTACGTGGGTCCATTCAAAATCATTAGACAGATCACACCTGTATCTTACCGTTTAGCTCTTCCCTCTAATTATCGTATCTCACCCACCTTTCATGTTTCCCTGCTTAAGCCCGCTGGTGGTCCGAGAGGAGAGAGGGACCAGGAAGAGGCCGGGAACGAGAGTCCCCCTCCCATCATCGTGGACGGTGAGGAGGCGTACCAGGTACGGGAGATTCTGGACTCCCGACGCCGGGGCAGGTTACTGCAATACCTCATTGACTGGGAGGGGTATGGTCCTGAGGAGAGATCGTGGGTTAATTCTCAGGATATCCTGGACCCTTCACTCACTACTGAATTTCATAGAACCCATTCTCGCAAACCAGCCCCTCGCTCCCGTGGAAGGCCTCGGCGTCGTTCTCCTCCTCGCTTCAGGAGCCGCTCGCAGGGGGGGGGCTCTGTCACGAATCAGGCCTCTGTGGCTCTCTCCGATGGCCTCCGGAGGGCACCCTCTCCCGAGTACTAACGTTCATGGACTACATTTCCCAGACACCCCGTACCTGGGACTGATTATGGCACAGGTGTTCCCCCTTAGCTTCCCTATTTAAGCAGCGCTCAGACTCTCTATGTTTGCGAAGTCTTGTATTGCCCCGGCTACATTTCTGAGCGTTTATCCCCTATCTTGTCGTCTCTTGTGTATTACCTCGGACTGTTCTTACTAGTGTGATTCTCTGCCGCCTGCCCCGACCCTCGCTCTGCCACTGTTTATTCTCTTGGATTTCCCCTGCTGTACGTGACGCTGTTGACTGAATACTGCCTGTTTTACTCTGCCTGTTATTCTAATAAAAGCTGCAAATGGATCCGCACGCCTCTGACTCAGCGTTACAGAACACTTCGCCACACACGGAACCAGCAGCGATTTATCAGCTAACCACCGAGGTTTCTGCCCAGGCCTCCATGTTAGCGTCTCATCAGCAACAGCTGCAACGACTCACCTCGCTCACGGAGGAGATGGTGAGGACGCTACAAGCCCTTCGCGGCACCGTGCCTGAACCCAGCATTCCTCCACCCGTTCCGTCACAACCGGTTCCCATTCCCAGGCACTCGTCGACCAGCCCACGCCTGGCTTTCCCCGAGAAGTTTGACGGCTCACCGGAAAGATGTAAGGGCTTTTTATTACAATGCTCCATGTTTGTAGATCAACAGCCGCAGTTCTACCCCACCGACGATAGTCGGGTTTCATTTGTTTGCTCTCTGTTAACCGGACGAGCGCTGGACTGGGCCACTGCTGCTTGGGAGGGGAGACGGCTGTCATTCCCATCATTTGATTGTTTCCTGAGACGATTCCGCGAGGTATTCGAGCATTCAACGGGCGGAAAGGAGCCGGGCGAACAGTTACTCGCTCTGCGACAGGGACGAAGCACGGCTGCGGATTATGCTCTCTCATTCCGCACTCTCGCAGCGCAGTCAGGATGGGAGGACGAACCACTTAAACTGCTGTATCGCAAGGGACTCACGGGCGAGCTACAGTCAGAGCTCGCCTGCCGTGATGAGGGGAGGTCCCTGGAACAGTTCATTGAGCTCTCCATCCGCATAGATAACCTGATGCGGGCACGACGTCCTTCTCGTTCATTTCCTGTGTATCCTCCAGCGGCCACAGCTCCCGTTGAATCGGAACCCATGCAGATTGGTTTCACTCGCCTCACCGATGCGGAACGAGAGAGAAGAATGCGGAATCGACTCTGTCTCTACTGCGGTCTATCCGGCCATATGAGAGCTTCCTGTCCCACCCGACCATCTGCTCGAAGTTACACTACGGTGAGTGCCACTCCTGATTCCATTAACTGTTTAGTAGTTCCCATTGCTCTAGCATTTAATGATAAGTGCACTGAGACCGTAGCATTGATAGATTCGGGGGCTGCGGGGAATTTCATTGACATAGGGTTTGCCAATACTCATAACTTCCCTCTTGTTCCATGTGAATCCCGGGTGGCAGTGGCAGCCTTAGATGGACGTCCTCTGGGCACAGGACAGATCAAATTCATAACCCAGGACCTGTGTCTACGAACTGGCATACTTCACACCGAAACTATCCGACTCTTTGCTATTGACTCTCCTCTGAATCCCATCATCCTTGGTCTGCCCTGGCTAGAAAGACACAACCCCCGGATCTCATGGACCACTAA